TTTGTTTAAATCATATATTCTCCTCCCCAATTGCAAAGTCCTACTACTACAGTCTTACACTGTCTCAAATTCAGACAGTAGCAGACCTGTCAATATATGCAACATCTGCTCTACTGGCTTTTATTTCTTATAGAATGAAAAGCTGTCCTTTCCCCCAAGGAAACACACTTCCTCCAGCAGTGGATTTCTCTGTTTCCGATCTCTGGTGTGGGATAATTACCTCGTTACAATTCATTGCTAATTCCAAGATTGTATCTGTGCCCTAAAGCTGTGAAGGAAACCAATCCTGAGACTTCATATTTTCAGCCACAATAATTTGTTACTTCTCATAGTTCCTGTAGTTCTGAGATTCGGAAATAACTTGGCCATGAGTTTTTTACTATTAATTTTTTTTCCTGGTAATGATAGACCCTGCCAATATAATAATGAATTTTTCCAGAAATTCTGTATTTCTTTCAATGTAGTATTAAGTAATGTTTTTCAGTCTAAATTTTCTTTCTCACCATAAAGATGAGAAACCTATTTGCAGGAGTTAAACATACTGTTTTTTCTTCTTGCAGTGGGAGATGCAGTGCAGTGCAGTGCAGTTATACATTTCATTATAAGTCCATTGTTTGGGGGTTGGAGTACATTTTTTCAGTTTTCATGTATTTTTTCCATTTTATTGAAAATACCTTTGCACATAATATATCCTGATTACAGCATCCCTCCCTCTACTTCTCCCAGTTCCTCCCCCGTCCCCTTCCATCTAGGTCCACCCCCTTTCTATCTCTCATTAGAAAACAAACCGGCTCCTAAGGGAAAATACTAAAATATAATAAGATAAAACATAAACTAACACAGTGGTATAGGGGGAAAAAAAGCAAAGAGAGCCCAACAAAAGGCACAAGAAACAGATATAGATGCAGAGAACCACTCCTTAACAACCTCAGGAATCCCATAAAAAAAACCCACAGTAAATTACAAGCCATACTATATACATAATTTTTAAAAAGGAAAAGCCCTTACATACCATTATGAGACAAGGAACTTCCCAACTATGCCTTTGAGTTTTTCTGTTGTTTTCTGTTGGCCACCTACTGAGGAACATGCAGCCTACCCTTAAGAGTTGTTTCCCCAGTGAGACTCCTTGGAGAAAACTCAGTTTTCATTTGCAAGTATTTATCAATTGGAGATTGGGGTGGAGACATGTGTCCACTTCTCTTTTCAGCTCTAGGTCACCATCTGGTACGGACCCATATAAATCCTGTGCATGTTGCCTCAGTCTGAGTTCTGTGCATCTATCTTGTTGATTTAGAAGGCCTTGTTTTCTTGGTGTCCTCCAGCCTCTTTAGGTCTTACATGCTTTCTGCTTCCACTTCCTTGGGGTTCCCTGACCCCTAAGGGGAGAGATTTGATGGAGACATCCCATTTGGGGCTGAGTGTTCAAGGTCTCTTATCTATCAGTCTCAGCAGAATGTTTGTCTGTGGGTCTCTATATTTGTTCCCATCTGATGCAGGAGGAAGCTTCTCTGGTGATGTCTGAGCAGGGAACTGCTCCTTTTATTTTATTTATTTTTATTTTTATTATTTCAGAACAGTAGTTTTGGTTTTACCCTAAGTCCCTGAGCTGTCTAGTCTTCTGTTCTTGGTCACCCAAGCAGTGTCAGGTATGGGTTCCATCTCATGGAGTGGACCTTAAGTCAAATCAGATGTTGGTTGTGACTCCCACAGGCTTTGTGCCACCATTGCCCTAGCATATCTTGTAGGCAGGCAGGACAGCACCGTAGATCAGAGGGATTGTGACTGGGTTGGTGTTTGTATTTCTCCTTCGGTAACATACAGACTAGCTTCCCCTGGGGATGGGGGCAGAGAGTGAGGAGAGGCCCCAACAGGTAGTCTGCCAGGAATGAGACTGGGGGATTGGCTATGGAGGAGCGGAGGAAGGAAGAGTGAAGATCTGAAGCCCCCCTGCCTGTTTCGTTGGTCTACTTCTTTCCCAGGAGGCCTGGCTGCCAGGTTACCAGGGAATGCCTGCTGAAGTTGGCGGCTGGAGAGGAAGGAAGTGGAGGTGTGATCCACTAGAGAGGGGGGTGGGAGCTGCAGCAGATGCTCTGCTACAGAACTGGGGGTAAGACTGGGGGAGTGGATTTAGAGGAGAAAACAGGGATGGAGAGCTGCAGTTAGCCTACCTGCTTCCCTTGGGGATTTTAGGGTTGTTTATTTTTGTCTTGAGGGTGTCTTCTGTTATTTCATGTAAGTGGAATTTGTGTTGTGTTCTTGAGTAAATAAATTGACTTTCATACTGTTTTTCAGTGGGACAAGCTTGTTTGCCTACAGGTATTTGGTTGGCATATTAAAGTGATTGGAAAATTGCTATTCAGTTACGATTTTTGAGTTGTTAAGAAGGTATTCATCTGTTTGGGACCCATCTCTTTGGAAGCATGTGGGGTTTTATTTGTGGTTTTTCATTGAATCATCCTTGATATTGTTGTTTCTCACTTTATGCAGGATATTGGAAACAGGCTCCCCCAGAGCTACCCAAAGCTGCAGAAGTCCTAGTTCCTCATACAAAGTAGTGTAACATCTTCATGCAACCTCCTTGGAAGATCCCCCTTATTCTTAACCATCATTCACAGATTGAATAGATACCTCCTAAATGCAGATGTTATAGAAGGAGATGTTGTGCCTTTTTCTTTAGGGAATAATGACATGGAAAAGTGTCTCTGCCCATGTTCATTCAGTACAGACTGAATTTTTAAAACTATGCTGCTCTTCAGTTGATGTACCTACAGACATGGAATGTAGGAAACAGGCCTGACCATATTCTCATGGCTTACTTTCTCATTTGATTTAATTCTCTGTTCAAATGTAATATCCTTAAAAAGACTTCTCTAATAATTAGGAGAGAACTATTTAATTACTGCCCTTTTGGTGCTTTATGGGTGCTCTTAAGGTATTGCTTTCTTTATCCCATGGGGTTTGCTTCTTAATAAAATCAGGTTGATTAAATACAAATTTAACTTGTTCTAAGAAGCTGAGAAGAAGTGGAGGAAAAATAATAGATTCAGCATCAAAGTGACAGTGGCTTAAACAAGATGTAGGGCTATTTCTGTTTCAGTCCACGGATGATAAATGGAGTTGGTATGGAGTTGACCACTACAAACAGCTTCAGAGACTCCTAAGTCTTCCATTCTATTTTCTGTGCTCTGCCCCTCTATTTCTCCATTGCTGTAGTTGGTCTACCACAGTTATCCCATTCAGCTAGAGAAAGACTGGAGGGGCCGGGGGGAAGATACATCCACCACAATAGCCTAAGAGTTCACATCTATTGCTTCTGCATTTGGCCAACTGTATGTAGAATAGCTAGTCTGTAGCTAGCTATTCCAGTGACTCCGTGGGAGACTGGGAATTTCAGTTCAGTCTCAACACTTAAACCCTCTGAGTACAAAGAACAAGGAGAGGATGGAATTAGCTTTTATTGGTGACTGCTTTGTTGTAACCACGTTAAATAAAATAGCATACCTGCTGTTCAGTATTTCACTCTTTGCGGTAATATCTGGCTGTCTATGGGAATTTTTCCATTAAGCAAGAATGATGTCTCACTTAAGTCATAAAATCTTCAGTAAGACGCAAACCACTCTTTCAGGTAATCTTGAAAATAGAAGTGGCCCAGCGACCCTGCAGTCTGGGTAGGCTTCAATGCCACATGAATCCTGTGTAATTGCAAGTGAGATAGATTGTGAATGAGGATTGGATGTCAGCTTGATTGATAACTGAAAGCATGGACTCTAGAGTCTGACTGCCCATGTGAGATTGTGTAAATCAGTATGTTTCTTAACCTGGCTATGCCCAGTTTCCCTATCTGAAACATAGGAATAATAGTATACTTAGTTCCTAGAACTGCTACAAAGACTAAACCAAATCAGTACAGGTAAAGCACTTAGCGTATTATTTCACAATATTGAATAGCATATCAATACTAGAATTATGAGTACTCAATTCTGAAGGTAGGGAACGAGTTGGACTTTGGGTCTGGCTTTTGGTGGGGTATATTATAAATTTTAATATAATACTTCAGTGATCTATGCTCTGCATAAAATTTAAACTATTTCTTTTAATCAAAAGTCACCCAATCCTTCATAGTACAGACATTTCTTAGTAGACTAAACCTCAGTTGCATTTTCTTTTAAGGATTTTTTTCAAGTTTGTATGTTTTTCTTAATCCAACAACAATGTGTGTTTATCTCAATTTTCAGTTATTTGTCACAATTTTAATAACATTGATGTCTGTTTCTGAGACTGCAATTTAAAATATAAGTGGTTTCTTTGCCTTCCCAAGAGCATATTGGATTTAGTATTTCCATATAAGGTGTTTGAGACCTAGCAAGTTGTATAAGTCTGAATTAGTTGACAGTAGAAATGTTGATTTTTATTGTCATTATTTGAATTATAAATGCAGGTGAGCAAAATGGGAGTATAGCAGAAAAACATCACAGCTTCTGAAAACAATGGAAAAAAAAAAAAGAGTCTGTACAGCTGTTCCATTCCATAAAAGTAACCACAGCGGCAAGAAAGATGATGCCTCACTATTGCTGGGAATGAATTTGTTCTTTCTTTAATAAATTGCCAGCTGTTGTATTTTTATTTCATTTTAGAAAGTTAGGTCAGCAATAAATGTCCAGTATGTTATTAGTTGTCTCCTATGGTTACACTAAACAGGAAGACTGTTGAATTTTAAGTTGCTTTTGCTAAATCTTATATAAATAGTTTTTGGCAAATTGGCTAATATCAGGTCTGGAGCTTAAACACAAGATAGCTGTTGCTGCGCAAATATAGTTGATAACATTAACAAGCTGTCAGTTAGCAAACTGGAACACACTCTTCAGCATCTTGTCACCACCTCATTTTCCTGACTGTTTGACTTCCTCAATGACCGATTTGCTCTCTCAATAGATTATTTATTGTAACTGGAAGAGGAAGAATTTTATTTAACTAATCCTTAGTTTTCCCATCTGCAGAATATGCTCAAGAAAACTGGGGCTTTCCAATGTGCCGCTATCTGAAAGAGGAGAGATGGTGTTGTGGCCGTAATGCAAGAATGTCAGCGTGCTTGGTACGGCTGTGTTTTCTAGAAAACATGAGAACTTTATCCAGATGTTATGCAACTCATTATTTTTTAGCTAGGTTGTGTTAAATGCCAAATTTTAGCAAAGCATAACCATTAATGTTTTTGAACAATGTGATTTGTGGAAAAAAATGATAAAGGTATTCAGCCATCCATTTTATATGCAGCATCACAGAAAAGTTTACATGTAGTTGTTTTATTTATAATACAAAATGTTTCAACTACCAGGTCTTAAACACAGAATCAGTTCAGTACTTTATACATAGATTGGTAGTATCTTTGTGTATTTGCAAAAGTCATTTCACCTTCTAATTTTCTTATAAAATAGGAAACTATTAATCTATGTGTAATATGAAGTAGCTCGTCAAAAACTGTTTTTGTTTGATTTTACTGGTGTTCCCAAATGTAGAATACTTTAGCCTTGGCATTCTTTGTTCATGATACTATGTTAGCTTACAAAAGAACAAGCTAAATATTACAGGTGAATAATTATCATCAGACAGCTTAACTGTTGTAGTTAGTTTGGAAGAATGAATCTAGAAAACTAAATTATAGAACCAAGACCATAATTAATATTGTATTATGTACTTAAATATTCTGAGCACTGTGCTCTTACCACGTACACTTAAAAAAAAAGATAATGGAGATGTGAAATTGCTTACCTGTATAAAACATTTCACTATGTATATGCAGTCATCACAACATGTTGGTTTACTTAAACAGTAACTTTTAAAAAATAAAATATAGAGCATCGGACAATTTGTTTAGTAGTCCAGTCATTAGATAAATGGATTAATTCAAAGTTAAATGGATTAATTCAAAGCCCATTGTTTCTAAGTTACTGGTCTACTATTATGTGTTTGTAAGTAATTTCAGAGGTTTTGTATCCTAGGAATAGCTTAGAAATCTATTCTCAAATAATCATTTTCTTATGTAGCACACTTAATGTACTTCTGGAAATTTCCCCTCATCCTTCATTTTATGTGTAAATGGGACATGCTCAGAATATTGTTAGAGTGAGAGTCATTCTCAAAATGTCATGATCGTGGAATCATACAAGCCAGGCTTATCCCCTAAAGGCAAGAAATTGAAATAGACTTTTTTAGGGAAGTTAACTTGATGTATATTTGTTCTGTAATACTCACTGAAGCACATTTTCATACAGTGAGCACCCCCAAACCTCACCCCATCTGTGGGGCATGAGGAAAAAAGATATTAATAAAGGGTCAAAGAACATGTCACGATCAGTTGCTAAGTAGCTACTCAATTTCACGTAAGCTACTGATCATGCCAATGATCTTATACATATGTAAAAATTGCATTTAAACAAGATAGTCTGTACATTACATTTTAACTCAAAAAGTGTTTATTTCAACTATAGCTAAAAAAAAAAAACCTATTTATGGAAACCTAGAAACCTGAAGCAAAACACAGAGATTTAAAATCTGAATAGCAAGCTTATGCAGATCAATTATACTTTCTCTACCTTATGTTTGGAATGTTTTCTAATTAAAATTTAAAAACAGAAATTTAGTTAAATACTTAATATTCCAATAAATGTGGAAATGTATGTCTAAGAAATGAAGAGTTTTGTAAAGGCCTATTCCATACATAAATTATATAGCAAGTATCATATGTTCAATATGATTTTTAGAAATGCTAGGAAATACTATATAAACTGTCTATGTTCTTCAGTGTAAGTATAAAATCAATACCATAAATTGTAAAGTGTGTCAGAGTGTTCTGTTAGTTACATTTGTGTCCCTGTGACTATAGTACCTAACAGTAACACTGGAGGAAAGCTTTATGCTGGCTCACAGTCTTGAGGATCTAAATTCACCCTGGCAGGCAGGCAGGGTGAGGCAGCCCCATTCACGGCAGTGAGGGCATAGTGTTCACACCACTGCACACCAGGAAGCAAGAGCGACCATGACACCACTAGTAACCAGTTCCCACCGGCTAGACTGTCTCTTAAATGTTCTATGGCCTCGCAAAGTAGTGCCAGTACCAAACAATCATTCAAAACACGTGGGGACACTGTACGCGTTAACAAGTCCCATTTCTTCTGATGCTAGATCCGATGAGAATGTGCTTTAAATTCATGTAACATTCAAATTATATTTTCCCCCTGAAATTCTCTTCCACCTACAGCCTGTTCATGTTTGCTTGCTAAAAGATAAAATGAAGAGGTCAGGAGGCAGCTTACTGATAGATCACCTACATAGTTACGTACAAAAACCTGCGTTTAATTCCCAACAGTGAAGTAAAACTAAAAAGATGAAATTACATGTCCCATAAATCATAAAATGTTAATAAGTTTACAAACACATCTATGTCTGTATCATACGTAAGAGCAGTTTTGGATTTGATTGTCTAGCCACACTGAACATGAGTCAGACTCTGCCATTTTTAATTCTGTGGCTTTCTAATTCCTTCTACAATTCAGAGTGTATAATCAGACTGTGATTGTGTTTGTGTGTATGACACTTTTCCATTATAAATTACTCCTAATTTATATAAGCATATTAGCTAATGTGCTTTAATAATATTGATACTTTTAACTCTGTAAGCTTACATGTTATCACTTAATTAATCTTTTTGATTGTCACTACTGCAAATTCTTCTAGAGTAGATTTATAAATCTCATAAGATTAAATGTGTCAGCAATCTTTGTCTTGTTTCTTTCTCCTTAGGCATTGGAACGGGTTGCAGTTGGCCAAGGGGTAAGTGAGAGTTTAATGTAGCTAAGATAGTTTTTCTCTCAAGCCCTCTTCAGACTTGACCTGCTGTTGAACTTGAAACCTGATGGATTTTAATAAATATCACCTCTGCTTGTCACCGCTGCACATTCAAGTGTATACATGCTCTGTGTGTTTAAAGTAAAGTCAACTTATGGAACGATATATTGAGCTTTGAGAAAGTTTCCACATTATGCTCTTATACTAACCTCTCATTTCTTCATATTGTATTAACAATCTGTAAATATTTCTAACAAATGCTGTGGCTGACCATCAGGCTTTTATGGGGTTAGCTCAAGCAAAGAAAATGATGTAACATGCAATGTATTATTGAAGTGTAATCTAAAACATGTTTCCTTTGGTTATTTGATAACATTTTCAATTTAATAAGTTAAAATAGCTAAACAGGCTTACAAGTATAAATAGAAGTTTGATATGTCCTAAATATCCATTAACTGTATTATTGTCTGTGTATTCATGAAACTTATGAATTAAAAAAAAACATTTTTGAACATTATCATAAAATTATTCTGTTGAACCTAAATTTTGAAAAATCTATTGTTTCTTTTTCAAGGAACATTAGTGTTAATTGTATTTTAGAAATAATAGTTGCAATAACAAGTATGACTTGCTCTAGACCAGTAACTTTGATGGGTCCTTTGGTGGTGATGGCAGCTGCTTTTTCTCCTGTCTATTAATTTTGCCTGCCTAAGATGTATCATGGTGAATAAAGTGAGGGACACAGGTAAAATGTTTCAAATGAATACTAAGTGCTCAGTCAATGTCAGCTGTCATCACCAGTAATAATGGTTATCTTGAAAATAATAGTTCAGTCTAATGTAGAGCTTTCCAAACTTCTTGTCAATTGTGGTAATAAATACGTAGGACTGTGAGTTATGGGTCATGATTGTGCCCTGATAGGCAGGAGGCAACTGGAAGATAACAAACTCTAGGACTGCAATCTCTCCTCCCACTAGACATCCTTGACTTCTGCAGTACACGCTACCTTAGTGTTTCCCTGGGGCCCTGGGAAAGTGAGGAGCCTGTATGATGTTGGTGTCGACTGGTGTTATTGTTTTTTGTTTTCCAAGATTTTGCTCATGCATCCATTCAGTCTGAGGAGTTGGATATTATTTTAGCCTTACATAAGAACATGATATGCAGCAGAAATTTAATGATACAGTCTGTCTCCCTAAATTAGTTACAGAACCATGACTTGTAGCTTGTGTCCTCTGCCGTAGTCCTGTGCATCAAATGAGTAATGCATGCATCAGGGTATATGCTCTGTTTTTTTCCTGGTTTTAAAATGCACTAAAAGTTAGGTGGCTTTATCACTTGTGAAGGACGGAAAGTCAATTCTGAGCCACACCCAGTTTACTCCTAGAATAGTCAGGCACAGGCTGCTTGGGAAAGGATGTCTTCTCCTTCCCTCTCTCCCTCCCCCTGTATTCACCAGGATGGATCAGCCTAGTCATCCAAGAATGAACATTTCTCTTTCTCTTAGGAAATAATTGTAAAGCTTTTATTTGCTCACAGTAACTTGGGAATGATAATTGATTTTGTCCCATGTTTTATAGGTGGCAGGTTTTCTGCCTTAAAACAAAGACAAGGTTTTATTTAGTGTTTGACTATTGCTGAATTCAAATATACTTATTCTGGTTAAAAATAGATAAAAAAATAAAGTTGGGAAGATAACTCAATTTATAAAGTGCTTGCCTTGCACGCCAGATAACCTGAATTCAGACCCCATGTTAAAAAGCAGGTATGGAAGCCTGCACTTGTAATCTCAGCCCTGGCAAGGCAGAAACAGCCCCTGGCACTTGCCAACTAGCCCACCCTGTCTACTTGGTGAGGTCTAAACCAGCAAGAGACCCTGTTGCGACAAGAAAGGTAGACATGGGCCATTCCTGTGGAAAAACACCTGAGCTTGTCCTCGGCACATGTGCACACACATCCACACAAGAACAAACATGCATCCAGAGAAAATGAATGAAAGTTACAATTTATCACTTCAGAGGAGAACAGAGTTTGAAAAGACTAAGTCAGTAAAATAATCACCCCACTAAAATCTGTCCTTAGAACTTGACCAGGCATTGGGCAGTGAATTTCATCTTCTTTGACTTCTCCAAAGCATCCATTATCATTGGCCTTCCTTAATCTTGACTCATATTTTTCTCTTTTGAAAATAGTAATTTTGCATGAATGCTGGCTTGTTGCTAGCATAATTTTTCCTTAACCCCGGAACGGCAAGAACAAAAAAGCCCCGGAAGGAAAATTTGGGGGCCTTTAAAAATTTTTAAGGTCAAGTCCCAAGACCCATATTAGACAGCTCACAACCTCCTGTAACTCCAGCTCCAGGGTTTTCAACACCTCTGGGCTTCTGTGGGCACCTGTACACATGCCTAAATGCACACACACACACATACACATATAATTTAAAAAATAAAATAAAACTTGAAAAAAATGTTAGAACATTCATGTGGCACCTCTCTGTTTTTCTCCTACAAGCAGTGTTTCCTGTTTCCTTTGTCCTTTTTCTCTCTACTCGTCAACGCTGTGGTGCTGTGATCTTTCATGCTTTGGACATGGTTTTTAAAACATTTCACATAGGCACTGTCTGTCACAGTGTGGTTCCTAGGTCTTACCTCTAGTCCACATCACTTCGGAAAGGGCCTCATCATGTTCTTTTCACACATGTCCTTCCTGACTCTGCTGGACTTCAGAGATGATGTGGGTGGACTTGAAAGTTTATTTCTGCCCTTTTAGCTGATAAGTAATCCATTTGGAGCAATAGCTTAATTTTTATTGATTATGACCTTTCCCCATTTACTGCAATTCCTTTTATGGTTTCTTGTTTTGTTTCAGAATTATTTTCTCAGTGAGTTAGTCTCAGGGTAATCCTTTAATTTACAGTAGAAAAAACTATAAAAATCCTACTATTTGTTTAACAACAAAGTCAGGTTTGTAACATTTACAAGTTCCCAAGTCTAGTAGTAATTTTGTTTCTGGGTTTTACTTTTTATTATTCTTATACAAATATCTGCATTTTTTTTCAGCTGCCTACTGAATCACTCTTCTATCGTGCTGTTCTGCAGAATATTATTAAAGATTATTATGGCATCACCAAATGGTATGAGAATTTTACTTTGTAATTATGCTGGGGCCCAGAGGTCGATAGTTTTCCTAGGACATGAAATATTTTCAGTTCAATACCAAGTAACCAAACAATAAGTCCACAAATAACTATGTTATATTGTTAGATAACTAAATTTTTAATATTTGGGTAAATTTATGAAGATTTATAATATATTTATAAAAATTTATAAAAACATAATAAGTTTTTGTTCATGTAATTCTTGAAAATAACTTTTCTTTTGAGAGAGAGAATGTGGAGTTTATTAATAATTACTCAAGGATAATTAGTGTGGCCCAGAATTGGCCCAAGCGAAGAGGAACAGGGACGTCCCTAACTTCAGCACATTTTATCATCTGTGCCAGTGGAGTAAGAGTGCAGATAGTGTGACCGTGAAAGTAAAGTGGTACATTGTCTGGCAGTCAGTTGGAAGTGAGTAGATGGTGGTCCCTCCATTAGTAAGATCACCTTCCTGATACGTCACTTGTTCTATTGGTATTAAAGGGATTGGCTAATCCTTCCAGTGAAGCTTTGTAACTAAAGCAGAGATTCCCATCCCCCTTGATTCTGACACACACTGACACTCATGAGGGTCCATCAGAAACCCAAGAAATCTGTGCTTCTACTGGGCTCAAACTGCATCTCCAAATAAGACTTTTGAATCCAAATACTCAGGTTTACAAGCCTCTGCTGTGTAGATTTTCAATTGGATAAGGCATCTTGTGACATGTTTTTGAACTTATGGAACAGCAGAGCAGAAATACCCAGAGAGGAAAGCTGGGGGCTGCAGGTTGGAGGGTATATTTTCTCAGTGTTAGGAAGAGTATACAATAAATTGTGAACATATGCAACCCTCCTTCCCCCAACTCTTCCCAGATCTATCTTCCTTCCCTCCACAGCCAATGTTTTGTCTTTTTATTCCCCCCAGTAAGGTTTTAATTTATGCTGCCCAAATATTCTTGGATGTTTGCCCCTGGTGTATTTGACTTCTCAGACAGGGGGCTACACCCACTAACCCTTCCTTTCCCAGCCCTTCACCGGTGCTGAGAGCTCCTCAGTTAGTGGAACTTCGTGCTCATCGCCCCTTTGCATACTGGAACTTGGTCTGGTTTGGGCATGCCTGGTCTTATGCATGCTGTCACAACTGCCCTGAGTTCCTATGTGCCACTGCCCTGCTGTGTCCAGAAGACACTGTTGTCTTGGCATCGTCTACCTCCTCTGGCTCTTAAACTCTTTCTACCCCTGTTCAGCATGGTAGGGTCCTGTCAGTTAAGGCTGGATAGAAAACTGGCACTTAATGTGGGGATTTAACAAGGCAACTCCACATAGTTTATCTGGTAGTTAAAAGAAGGTCTATTTTGGGGTAACCACAGTAGAGGGGTTGGTTAAAGGATCTGGGAGAGGTGAGGTGCAGTCCAGCTTGGTTCTCTGGAGAACTCTGACTTGGTCTACAATCCAGCATCCAGGATCCAAGGAGCCAAGAGAGGGCCAGCTTGTACAGATCTCAAGTCTTAGCCATGCCCCACGGGCAGGTCCTAGGTAGGTGTGGTAGTTACTGGCTGCCTCAGTGGAGTGGTGCTTCAAGGTCAAAGCTGGAACAGCTTCCCACTACAGGCACTCTAGTGTTCCTTATTAAGAAGTACCCTAGCACTAACGGAAACCACATGGGAAGCTTGCCTTCTCCCTACCAAGCTACCCAGCACTGATCGGTTGCACCCCTATTCTCCCACCAAAGGCAGTATAGTATAATAATCAGAATTTATACTATTTCTCAACAGTTACTAGATACTCCAACGTCAGCGCAGATCACTTGGGACTGTGGCAATAGCAAGGAAGAACTCGAGCAGGCATCTAAAGTATCCAAAGATGTTTACAGCACTTTATTCCTAGATACAAAAACTGAAGAAAACAGACAGACGTCCATCAGTAGATACGTAATTAAAGCAATCTGTGAGCGTTCCTATCAGAGACTACTACTTGGCAATAAGACAGAATGGAATATTGATAGACACAACAACCTGGCTGAATCTCCGGAGACTTAGATTGGATGAATGTAATTATAAATTATAAAAGGATTCTCTTCTTACATGTCCTTGGGGATGGAAGTACGGCTCAGTGGAAGAGCATTTTTCTAGTAGACACAAGGCCGTGGGTTCATTCTCAGCACCGCAACAGGACAGAATGCGGTGAACAACAGGGTGGAGACACGCCAGTATGTTCTTGTGATGACAGGTTATAGACGCTTCAAGATACTACTGGTTTCTGGAGAAAGGGAAAGTAGGATGAGAAGGAGAGGGTGTGCCTGTAAGACAGCAAAACAAGTGATCCTTAAGGGAAGTGCGTCTTCCTGATAGAATCAGTTTCCACTCTACCATCTGGAGACTTGGTGGGAAGCTACATGAAGGCTATACTAACCCCTGTTCTTCCTTCGAACTTTGTGTGATCTTACACCTTACTGTAAAAATAAAAGCTGTGGAAAACAGAACATACATGGCACACATAAAAATTTTAGAATTACGTTATAAAGTAACAGTAAGTGACCAAAATTAAGAAAAAAAAATGGATGGTTTTAAGTATCTTAGAATTAAAGAAGCTAAAAGTATATAGGTCAGCAGTGTAGCCCTTGCCTAGCATGAGTTGGGCCATGGTTTTGATCTCCAGGATAAAAAGACAGACAGACAGACGACAGACAGACAGACAGGGGTAGGAGGTGTAGCTAGAGTTTTCCTGCCTTGCCCACAGTCAGGACAAATCTTTGTCACTCGCCAGTCCCACAGCCGCTCAGACCCAACCAGAGTAAACACAGAGACTTATATTGCTTACAAACTGTATGGCCGTGGCAGGCTTCTTGCTAACTGTTCTTTTATCTTAAATTAACCATTTCCATAAATCTATTCCTTGCCACGTGGCTGGTGGCTTACCGGCGTCTTCACATGCTGCTGATCATGGCGGCGACTGCAGTGTCTCTCCGCCTCAGCCTTCCGCTTCCCAGAATTCTCCTCTCTCCTTGTCCCACCTACTTCCTGCCTGGCCACTGGCCAACCAGTGTTTTATTTATTGACCAATCAGAGCAATTTGACATACAGACCGTCCCACAGCAAGGAGGCAAGGAGGGAGAAGAAGGCGCAGCACCCCAGGCAGCAGCAGTCTGCTGGGTACGAAGGTGGCGTCTGAAAGGAAACACCAGGAAACAAAAAGATGAAGAGCGCCAGGGAAAGACTAGAGGTGTGTGGGAAGTAGTGAAGAGGCTTCATTGCTATTGATAAGAAAAGACAGAGAACAAGGTGATAGAAATATTGGGCAGGGTTGTTCTGTCTTGAATACAAGAAGACGGGAGTTACTAGATTCAGAAAGTGCACAAATCTCAAGACACACTTTAAAAGAACAACTTACAGACACATAATGAGAAGAACTGTGGGAATGAACACGGGACTGAGAGAAGGAAAGAAGAGGCCTTCAGAGGGACTGTGGTCGGGCTAGACTGCTGAGGGTGGGAAGGTGTGGCTGCTGAAGCCTGAGGACCTGGGCTCCGTCCCTTGGACCACAGGGTCACTCAAGCCATACACACATGCATATGTGTATAAATAAATGTAACGGAAATGTAAAGAACTGCTATTCAGTAGGAAAAAATCAAAAGTCGAATCATGTTCAAAGGGCTGGAAGAAATATTGGCTACAGCATAAGATATTTAAAAGCCGGGATGAAATAAAGATATTTTCATATAAAAATAGCAAATATGTATCCTGCTAAAAGAAATGCTAAATGATTAAAATGGCTGTGATTTTCTGCAGTGGTCTCCATCGGTTGCAAGAGAAGCAATTGTAAACAAAGAACTGTGGGCAACCGAGGAAAGCGGGGAGCAGGAAAGGGCTATTCCCCAGGGAAGAGCACACCGATTGGTCATCCAGTGCCAAATGGTCAGCCCTGAGAACATACATACAAGTAACATTACCCAGACTGAAGAAGTTACATTTAGGAATATATATGTATATACATATATGTATATACATATACACACATGCATACAGTAACAATGAAAAGAAAAAGCCATGACTTTGAAGGAGAGAGGGAAGGAGTATTTATGGGAGGGTTTGTAGAAAGGGAAGGGAAAGGAGAAATAATATAATTAAATTATAATCTCAAAAAAAAAATGTAGGGTAAATTATTGTAATGGCCAGAAGGTCCTCAGAAACTTCCAAGCAAATTTTATTATAGCCAAAATAGCATGGTATCTGATATTTTTCTTCCTTCTCTTTTTAAATAATTAAATAAATGGAGCAGAAAAAAATCTAAAATCTATAAATTATTAAACATAAGATCTTAGGATGGTAGTCAGATTTTCAGAAATATGATTTTTTTATCCAGACATCATTAAAAAGCATATTTGCTACATACTTCCAGAATTTTAAGTAAAAATCAGCCATATCTAGACCTGTGTATGGTTGAACACACCACCCAGCTAACCAGGAGGTTGAGGCAAGAGGACCAAAAGTTTAAGGCCATCCTAGACCATATAGGGAGATTCTGTCCAAAAGACCAAAAGAGAGAACAAAAAGTAGTATGTCAAATAATGAACCTAACAAAGGTAATTTAAGACACTCCTATAAAAATGCTGAAGAACTCTTAAAAAATGTATGTATTAAGCTAAAATGTAACCTCTCAAAATGATGACTTGATTGAAATCTATATATAAGGTTTTAGAGTGCAAAAGACAGAAAAGTGCTGTCCCTTAATTCTTTGATATTTTGTTTAGTTTTTCTTGTTGGCTCAGTTAAGTTGTCCTCAGGTGAGAAGCCTGTCACACAGTACCTGCAACATTATTCCATAAGTCTCTCTGATTGCTTATACCATCTAATTAGACGTCACAGTTTTTCGTGGACTTAGCCATAACATCATATTCTGTTATAGTTTTGATTTGGTATTCAGTACACTTAAAAGTCAATAATTTGAAGAACTGTTTTATTTCATAAATAGTCCTTATATGGAAATTTCCGAAG